TACCTACATACCTACCTATCTATCCATTCTTATATAATATATATTATACTTTCACACATCACACAAACACACAGACTCTCACACACAGGTATAGGATTTTATGTATCTATATACATAAATCATAGAAAGCATGATAACATTGTCTTAATCCACTTCATATATTCATTCTCTCTCTCTCTTTCTCCCCTCTCTCTTTCTCTCTCTTTTGTTTTTTCGAGACAGGGTTTCTCTGTAACTTTGGAGGCTGTCCTGAAACTAGCTCTTGTAGACCAGGCTGGTCTCTAACTCACAGATATCCACCTGCCTCTGTCTTCCCAAGTGCTTGGATTAAAGGCGTGCCTCACCACCACCTGACACTTCATATATTCTCTAGTTGTGTCTGTTTCCTGCAAAAGAAGTAATTTTTTTAGGGACCAGAGAGATGGCTCAGTGGTTAAGAGAGCTTGTTGCTCTTCAAGAGGACTTGGATTCAGTTTCTATCACCCATGTATGACTGCTTTGAACCTCCTATAACTCCAACTCTTGGGGATCTAATGATTTTTGACTGCTGAGGACACTTGTACTCCTTTGAACATGCCCTATAGACACATATACACATGCATAATTATAAATTAAAAATAGGAGCTAGAGAGATTGCTTAGTCTATAGAGCATTTCCTCCTCTTCCTCCTCCTCCTCCTCCTCCTCCTCCTCCTCCTCTTCTTCTTCTTCTTCTTCTTCTTTTTGAGACAAGGTTTCTCTGTAGCTTTGGAGCTTGTCCTGGAACTAGCTCTTGTAGACCAGGCTGGTCTAGAACTCCCAGAGATCTGCCTGCCTCTCTCTCCCCGAGTGCTGGGATTAAAGACATGCATCACCAACCAGTGCCCGGTGCATTTGCTGTTCTTGTAGAGGATCAGGATCAGTTCCCAGCATCTCATGGTGACTCACAAATAACATTAACTCTAGTTTTGGGTGATGGGACACTCTCTTCTATCCTTCAGAGTCACCAGGTACACATTGGGTACACATGCACTCCTGCAGAAAAACACTCACACCCATAAAATAAAGTAAAAATGAATGTAAAGAATTTAAAAGTATGGGGGCTGGAGAGATGGCTCAGCGATTAAGAGCATTGCCTGCTCTTCCAAAGGTCCTGAGTTCAATTCCCAGGAACCACATGGTAGCTCACAACCATCTGTAATAAGGTCTGGTGCCCTCTTCTGGCCCGCAGGCGTACACACAGACAGAACATTGTATACATAATAAATAAATAAATATTTTTAAAAAAAGAATTTAAAAGTAAGAATAAATATTTTAAGACAATCTTGATACAAAATTATTAGAAAATAGATCATATAAACCCGGTGGTGGTGGCACACGCCTTTAATCCCAGCACTCAGGAGTCATAGAATGGCGGATGTCTGTGAGTTCCAGGCCAGCCTGGTCTACCAAGTGAGTTCCAAGACAGGCTTCAAAGCTACAGAGAAACCCTATCTCAAAAAAAACAAAACAAAAAACAAAAACAAAAAAAAACCAAAAATGAAAAAAAAGAAAAGAAAGAAAAAAGGAAAAGCAAATAAATCATAGACCTATGCAGTTTGTGAAAACAAAAATTAGCATGAGAGAAAATCTTGATGGCCCTTAGGTATGCTGTTGACTTTTTGCTTGTATTCTTTTGAGATTGACATTTATTCACTTGTTTAATGTATGTTGGTGTTTCACCTACATGTATGTGCACCATGTGCCTGCAGTGACCATAGAGGCAAGAAGAGAGCATTGAATCACTTTGGAACAGACCATAGTGAGCTAGCAGCAATGTGAGTGCTCAGAATCAAATGTAGGCCTTCTTGAAGAGCAACCAGTGTTCTTATTGGCTGAGCCATTTCTCTAGCCCTGCTACTGAAGTTTTAGATAGAAAGCAATCCATGAAAGATCTAATTGATAAAATGGATTTCACTGAAGCTAAAATGTCAGTTCTGACTGAGTCTGTCATCACAGGATTGTAATCTCAGCTATTTAGAAGGCTGAGGACTGGGCGGTGGTGGCACACGCCTTTAATCCCAGCACTCAGGAGGCAGAGGCAGGTGGATCTCTGTGAATTTGAAGTCAGACTGGTCTATAAGAGCTAGTTCCAGGTCAGGCTCCAAAGCTACAGAGGAACCCTGTCTCGAAAAACAAAACAAAAACAAACAACAACAACAACAAAACAAAAATAACGGCTGAGGCAGGAGGGTCCTGTTCAAGCAATTTCGGAAGACCCTGTGTTGAAACAAAGAATGAAAAGACGGCTGTGATATAGCTTGGTGGCAAACAAGGGTGTTTGCCTAGCTTTTGCAAGACCCTAAATTCAATCCAAGTGCTTCAATAAACAAGGCAAAACCCCTTCTCTTCCATAACAGTGTTAAGAAAATAAGACAAATTAAAGAAATATTTGCCAAGCTCATGAGATAGAGCGAGAAGAGAGAGAGAGACTTATCCAAATTATACAATGGACTCAGAGATGGAGACAGATGGATTTCTCTGAGTTCCAGACCTGTCAGGACTACATAGTAAGGCCCTGTCTCAAGAAGGGAATAAAGGAAAAGAAATGTTAAAAATCAGCAATATGAGACTAACAGCTCAACTCAAAATGGACCAAGACCTGAGTGATACCTAACCAAGGAAGAGATCACATGCCAAGTAAGGTTGGAAAGACATTCTACTTCATATGTAGTGCAAACTAAAACAACAGTTAAATATGACTGCCCAAATTTAGAATGTTCAAAATCCAGAGCATGGACAACATCAGATCCCATCAAGGATGTGGGGTACCGCTCACTCTCTTTCACTGCTCATGGGAATGCAGAACAGGACAGGGACTTGGAAGTTTGGAAGTTTTCTTATCGGTGGCTGGGATCTGGACCAAGTGTTTCCATGTTCTTAGCCTCTTATTCAAAGAATTGGGAATAAGGGCTCAAACAGATTTGCAAAGGAAGCAAGACAATTTTGTTTTGAGCAAAGCAATAACACAGATTAAAGAACGATGCCTGTTGTAATGGGAGCTTACCAAATCTAGCTGGACTAGGACTGAACGAGCATGCGATCAAACTGGATTCTCTGAATGTGGCTAACAATGGGGGCTGACTGAGAAGCCATTGATAAAGGTACTGGGACTTGTTTCTACTGCATGTACTGGCTTTTTGGGACCCTAGTCTGTTTGGTTGCAAAGCTTCCTGGGCCTGGATGTAGTGGGGAGGTCCTTGGACTTCCCACAGGGCAGGGTTCCCTGCCCTCTCTTAAGCAGGGAGGGGAGAGAGGAGGGGGAGTGGGGGAGCAGGAGGGGAATGGGAGGAGGGGAGGAAGTGTAAATTTTTTAATGGAAAAATAAATAAATAAAAATAAAAAAAGAAAGATACCAACTATCAACATTGATATGGTGGGGGCTATTTATTAGAAGGTTCAGTAGTTAAGAATACTTGGTGCTTTGCACAAGACCAGGGTTTGGTTCCCTATACCTACAAGGTAACTCATCTGATGCCCTCTTCTAGCCTCCAAGGGTACTGTATGCTTGTGGTGTACATACATAAATGCAGGCAAAATAGACATAAAGTAAAAATAAATTTTTAGAAAGGTTGACATCAGACCACATGGGTAAAGAGACCCAAGGGCCACAATTATTCTTGTTTTTTTATTTTTCAAGACAGTGTTTCTCTGAAGCTTTGGAGACTGTCCTGGAAATAGCTCTTGTGGCCTCAAACTCACAGAGATCTGTCTGGTTTTGCTTCTCGAGTGCTGGGATTAAAGGTGTGTGCCACTACTGCCCAACTGGGCCCCAATTATTCTTAAGGGCTTTCTTTTATGGGACTCAAGAAGGAAGAGTTGGTTACTAAGGGGCATAGTTTGGGTGATTATTTTAAATGATAGATTGGGTTATATAATCATTTCCTCTGTGTATTCCCTTCCCAAAATACATCCTATTTGGATTATATGTTCACCCAATTATGCATAGGTATAAGATGGTAAATAATAAGATGGCAAAAACATTCTCCCTAAAATGTTACTAGAAGACTCAGTTTCGCCTTCCATGAACCCAAAACCAGTTCAGACTGGATTGATCCTTCTGTTTTCTATACCTAGCTATTCTCAGAATACACTTGAATAGAATTTGTCCAAATTTGATTGTTACCAGGCGCAGAAAACTTATGAATGTTGTCTGTTGCAGGAGTAGGGGTTGAGTTCTGAGGGTACTTAGATACCTAGTTTGGATAGGGATGTGGGTGAATATTTTGTGCAGAAGGAACTAGGGCTGCCAAGGGCAATAGGACAAGTGAGGGGTGTGTGTATAACTCAAAACCAAATGGAGGTCCAAGGGTACTAAAGTATATCTTATGCTTGCCTACTTCAGTCTGTTATAAAACTAAGCACTGTCCTATAGAACTTAGCGATCATGGTCTTTGACATTTACCCAATGAATTGGAAAAGTATGTCCACACAAAAACTGTGTATGTATGTTTAGAACAGTACTCTTTTCTTGTTGCTGTTTGGGACAGGGAATCATGTACATCCCAGGCTGTCTTGAATTCTGTATGTAGCCAAAGATGATTGTAAATCCTGCTCCTTCCGTTTCCACCTCCATACTGCTGGGATTAAAGGCTGGTACTGCCATACCCAGCATTGTAAGGTAGTATTTTTCGTAACTGTTGGAAGCAACCAAGATGCCCTTTTGTTTGTAAATGAATTAACAAAGTCCAGACAATGGACTGTTTTTAGCACTGAAATTAAATATGCTTCCAAACCATGGAAAGACCTTGCAGGACTTGAAATGTATAGTAAGTAAAAGAAGGCAGCCGGAAAGGACTACAGACTGTGTGACTCTGTGTGACATTGGGAAGAGGTTAAATGAGTGTGAGACCAAAAGGTCGGTTATCCCAGGGGTAGTTGGTGAGAGGGACCAGGAGGAAGAGCACAGATTTCGAAAACAATGAAACTCTTTTGTGTGACAGCAATAATGGTGGATACGTGTCACTCTGTATTCTTCCACAGGCCTAGACTACTTGTCCTGAATGAACCCTCACATGGAATTTGCAACAGCCTCCGGCAGGGAGGATGACTCAGAGCTTGTAAAAGTATATCACTCCATCCTCAATCAGTCATGCCTTGGGCACAATTAACACCTGGCTATATAGAAGCTGTGAAGATTTGTAAAGTTCACACAGGAGACAAGGTAGAGCCACACCTTTTATTTTATTAACATCGATAAAGATTCAAGTAATTTCTAGACTTACAAATTTTAATATATACAACAACAACAACAACAACAAAAAGAGTCAACCCGGTGCCATCTCCCCGTGAGCCCTGTCTGCCATCTTAAAGAGGACTATACTGAAGTGGAAGGGGCCAGGTGACTGCACATGAACTGTGACACACACTTCTTTGGAGGAAGCCATTTTAGGCTGCCTTTGTGGAGACCATAGTCTATGACTTTACATTCTATGGAATATCCATTTCCACAAAATTGTACTTGGTATCAGATAAAACTTTTATTTTAGCCAAGGGGTGGTGATACAGGCCTTTAATCCCAGCACTCGGGAGGCAGATCTCTGAGTTTAAGTCCAGCCTGGTCTACAGAGTGAGTTCCAGGACAGCCAGGGCTATACAGAGAAACCCTGTCTTGAAAAAAATGAAAAAACAACAACAAACAAACAAAAAATCAAAAGAAAGAAAGAACCCCCCCCAAACAAACAAACAAAACCCCCCAAATCCCTTTAATTTATAAATATACATATTCCTGTACATATTCTACATGAAAACAGTTTTGTATTCTGCAGAGACAGGGCAGCAACACCCTTTCCTCAGCAGAACCTGTGAAGTAAAAAAGAAACTGGTCATGCTAGTCTCGTAAGGGACAAAGGACATTGAGTGGGATCGTCTGGTACTAGTTCCTTCCTGGCTGTTAGACTCTCCTGTTGCACAAGGGTCACAGGGCATTCTGTCAGAACCCAGGTCAGTTGGGGGTCAAACCTTTGCCTATGTGGGTACCTGCAAGGCTGGGGGCTATGAGGGAATCATTTCCCAACTAGTCCATTTCTTTTTGTCACTATTAACTACGTTTCTTGCCTGGAGAGGTGGATCAGTATCTTGGGTTCTGTTCCTAGCTCAGAGATGGTAGTCCACAACCTTCTTTAAGTTCATTCTACAGATGCCCTCTTTTGATTACTGTAGGTTCCAAGTGCACATGTGGTGCACACATATGCATGCAGGCAAAGCTCATATACATAACTTAAGCTAAATACATCTTAAAAAGTTCATTCTCAGCCAGGCTATGGTGGCGCACGCCTTTAATCCCAGCACTCGGGAGGTAGAGACAGGTGGATCTCTGAGTTTGAGGCCAGCCTGGTCTACAAGAGCTAGTTCCAGGACAGTCTCCAAAGCTACAGAAAAACCCTGTCTCGAAAAATCAAAAAAAATAAAAAAGTTAATTTCTTGCCTAGTGGTTGTGACACACACCTTTAATCCTGGCACTCGGGAGGCAAAGGCAGGCAGATCTCTGAGTTAGAGGCCAGCCTGGTCTACAGAGTGAGTTCCAGGACAGTTAGGGCTGCACAGAGAAACCCTGTCTTGACAAACAAACCAAGTTAGCTTCCTAGTCAGTTTTGCGCACATACACAGTGGACACTGGCTACTTTCACCTCTCACTTCCCTACCTCCTTGGAGGAGTTCTCTGACTCATTTATGACTGTTTGCTTTGTTATCCACTGGGATTATCCAGGTCTGTCTGTGTGCCTACGGATTTGAGCTATCTCTCGGAGCCCAGTGGACTCAGCCGTAGGTACACAACTGCAGATGCTAGCTCCCCTTTTTCCGGAGTCTTAGCAATAGCCAGTATTTCAAAGGTAAAGAGGAGGATCCTTTGACCGGCCCCTCTCCCCTTGGCTTATTGATAGGGCTTGTCTTCTATGCACCCAGTACAGGTAGCTTAGTTGATTATTAATAGCTAGTAGTTATTGTATGGCGTTAATAACTGCAGCAGTTGTATGGCGTCTAGAGAATGGTAGTTCATACCCCTTCACTGTATCTTCCAGCTCATACAAACTTCCTATCCTCTTTTCCATAGTGTTCCTGAGCCTTAGAGGGGATGCTACAAAAGCCTCATTTAGAGCTGTGCCCACAGCAAGCCTATTTATTGACTATAGTTTTAGCAATGGCAGCTGCACTCTTGTGTGGATGGAAGGATGATGCAGACCTCCCTTGATGGATCATGATTTGCCGAATATACAAGGTCTTATTTTCTGATTGTTAGATCTTAGAGCCTTTATGTTGCTCTAGAAATTGATTTGCTTCCTCCAGCCACATCTTGTCAGGGGAGAGAGAGGATTAGTGGCAAGTGAGCGACATTGGCCTTTGAATTCTGATGATTTCGTTTGTATTATATTGTTCTTTCCAGGGTAGAGTTCCTTTTTCTCAATTAGTCCTTATTTTTCTTAGAAGGTTTTAGGCTGCAGCATAGCTGAGCGGTAGAGTCTGTGCTTAGCATGTGAAAACTCTGGGCATTCCATCCTCAACACCAAAGGAAATATCGATGGAAGATCTTTCTATGCTTGGTCGTTACCAATGGTTACAGCCATGTTTCTGTCCAGCTAGAGCAGACTAAATCACCCGTTCCTCATCAGGATGCTGTTTGGGTATGCTTCATGTTATAAGGCATTAGGAAAAATTAAAGCTAACATTCACAGTCAATACCCACAGGAAACCCGTTGAATGTTTAAAATATAAAATACCCGATTGGAAGCCTGGGGGGAAAATGTGTGCCAATGCTGAAGAAAAAATATTAGGTCTGTGGGAAATCAAATACACAGCTTGGTTAGCTGCAAAGTCAAAGAAGCTATTGTAAGAAGGAAAAAGATGTCTTTCAAAACCTGGAAATATAGTTTCTAATGGGGAGAATTGGGGAGTTAGAAAAACATGGCAGCTCAGCTACTAAGCAGAAATTTCACCGACTCAAAAAGATTGACAACTTCTTTGCTAGGGATTCTAATGCTCCTCTCTGAAACATATCTGAGAAATTGTCAACTAGAGAATCAGTGGGATCAAAGAGATTAAAAGGGGATTTGATGTGTGACCAGAGTCTCAGAGGTGGGGGGTTTCAGGTTGCTGGTAGATTTAAATGAATGGGCTACAACAAAGCTTTGAGTGTGGGGGGGGGGCTGAGTAAAAATGTTCCATCTTTCCTCTCTCATTCTATTCTTTCACGCATGTATTTCATTCTCCCCTTGGCCTTTTCCTAAGTCAGCTTGGCTTTTCTTTTTTGCCGTGAATGTTTTGTTTTTTTCTGCTTCCTAACCATATATTTGTCATTTCCAAATTATGATGCCTAGTCAGAAACTTTCAATAGGGCTTGCTCTGCAGTCAGGAGAGTCCCCTTTCAGAAGCAGTCCCGTGAAGTTTCTCCACCAAAGTTTCTGGGACCAGGAGCAGGTGAGGTGCAAAAAGTCGCATCCTTATGCTTTGCCTCTTCTCTTGTTCTGGACAGGACCATTGACTAGGCCACCCAGGCCTAGAAGGGTTTAGCTGTGGGAGCCTGCCACCTGGTGGTCAGGCATGGGAGGTGCAGAAGAATTCATAGTGGCCTACTTTGACCTACCATCTAATGTGAGCTCTTTATTTAAAGGGTATATCTCATTTAAATGTCACAACAAGCTTTGCATGCTTACAGCACTCAAGAGGCTGAGGCAGGAGGATTGCTGAGATTTCAAGAGAAACCTGGGCTAAAGTAAGAGCCCTTTTCTTTAGAAAAATGGAGGGGGCTGGAAATGTAGCTTAGTAGGTAGAGTACTTGCTTACCATGTGTGAAGCCCTGGGTTCAAGACCCAGCACTGCATACACCGGGTGTGGTGATGCACACCTATAACCCCAGCACTTGGAAGGTAGAGGCAGGATCAGGAGTTCAAGGTCATCTTTGGCTACATAGGGAGTTCAAGACCCGCCTGGGCTATATGAGACCCTGCTTCAGAAAGCCAAAAAGTAACAGTAAAAAATAAAAACCAAACAAAAAATTCAATAGAAATAAATCAAAAGACATAAATCTATCTCATAACAATCCTGGTGAGGCATGGTGGCTCAGACCTGTAACGCCAATAGCCTGGACTACAGACTGACACTCTTACCTCCAAAACCAAACCAAATTCCCCAACAATCTTGTGCAGTGGGAATCACCACAACAAGTTGATACACGAATGATTTTTCATTAAAATGTTAAAATAGTTTAAGAATCTGTGTATCCAGCTCAATGGCTAGGATGCTTGCCTGGCACGTTTGATGCCCTAACTTGAGCTGCAGCACTGTATAAGCTGGGAGCGGTGGCTCATGCCTGTAATCCTGACATTTGAGGGGCTGAAGTGGGACAGTCACTGAGACTTTGAAACTATCCTTGGCTAGCATAGCGACTTTCAGGACACTTCAGGCTACAGAGTGAGATTTTTGTCCCTGAACCGAATTAATTCTTTTATTAGCACAGTCTGTGTGAATGTTAAAAACTCAGCGTGAAACCAGAAAGCTATGTCACGTAATGCTGTTCGCTTGCTGCTACTTTAGACTGTCCCACCTGGATAGGTCCTCGAGATGGTTTTCCTTCATAAAAATACTGCAGGAAGGGCCAGTGAGAAGACCCAGTCGGTAAAATGTGAGCTGCCTGAGCCTGGTGACATGTGTTTCATCTCTAGAACCCACAAGAAGGTGGAAAGGAGAGAATTAACCTCACAAAGTTGTTCTTAGACCCCCGTGTGCATACGCTGGCACCCATGCCCACGCCACATCATGGACATACATATACAATAATAACAATTAATTCAAACCCAAGCAGGCCTAGTGGTGCATGCCTCTAATCCCAATAGTCAGGAGGCAGAGGCAGGTGGATCGCCTTGAGTTTCAGGCCAGCCCGGTCTACATAGTGTGTTCCATATATGCACATGCCCAATATTCTGGTAAGGAGACTGTGAGGCTGGTGACATGTTCAGTGATAGGCCGGCCAAGATGTTGTTTGACAGTTTTAGTGAAGGGCAGGTGACAGATAGCATGGAACTCACAGAAGCA